GGAATATAACTACCATATCAAGGGCATGAAGAAAGTTTCAGTAGAAAGTGCCAAAACAAGCCTTAAGAGATGTCAACCACTCAGCACATGACCTTGAAAAAGCTTCCTAATATTTCAGTTACAGGAAGAAAAGCCCTTGTGCTACTGAATTATAATCAAATGCTTTAAATGGTAGCATTTTCACCCCTCAGACTTTTAACCAAAAAAAAAAAAAGCTGACAACTTTCTAAGTGGGGGCTTCCTGCTTAGCAGCAGTAAGCATGTAAGCATGAACAATTCAAATTGTATTCATTTTTTTCTAAAGCCTGATGGGGATGATGCTGTGTGCACCATTTTGACGAGCCATACATTTTTGAGGATGCTGCTTTAGAGAAGCACCAAGTATCCTGCAGTTAAGACAAGAATATGTAGTTTTCTACTATTGTACAAAGACCTTGCCAAGTACCTGATTCTAAGATACATGTAGCTCCTATGAAAAAGTGTAACTACATCAACTTCAAAGCAGCACCACATTTTATATCAGTTATTTGCCTATATTTCTAAAACACTAATAAAGCCTTAAAAACATGGAAAGAAATTATAGCTATCTTATTAGCAAGATAGTGAATTCATCCTTTTTCTAAAGCAATCTAAAGCCATTATGAGTTCATGTACGCTCTGGGGCATAGTTTGACACGACACAAATATTAGGGCCAAAATGCCAATTCATTCAGGCTTGAGCCTACTCCAGTTTAAAGCAGCCTTTGTAATGAAAATTGACCGTAAACTTGCCTGACTCTCTGTCCATGAATAATATGGGCTAACACAAATGTTAGAATTAAACCATGAGAAACATAAAGTTATCAACAGTTTTTATAATCATGCAATAAACAAGATGCAGATTATTTTTATTTTTTAATTAAAACTTTAGCTATACAACATATTTCTAACAAAGGTGGGTTGTCTTATAATTGTTTGGTATCTCAGGAAAGTCAGCTTGTTTTATCATTGCTAGTAGACTTGTCTTTCTGCTGGACACAAGACAGATAAAAAATATGAATATGCATCTACGTAAATATGGAATTTTGGATATACAGAATTTGGTACGTTATTCCAAGTAACCCTTCACAGAACATAACTTTTGCACGCTCCACAGCCTCCTCTGAAGTAAGAATTCATCTTTCTCATAGGAGATTTCAATGGGAATGGATCCTCCTCAGTAAGAACAGTTTGTGTAAGAGAGCACAGAGCCCCAGAAAGAGAACGGTAACCTACTGAAAGACCACTTAACCTCCTTCCTCTCGTCTCCCCTTTTGCATCAAACCATGACCAACTTACTGAACTTCTCCTACACAAATCTGGAAGCCAAAGCAGCTGTGACATGGAAAGCCATTTAAAAAAAGGAAACCCAACTAAAAAAACACCACCACAAACACCTTTTGATAACTGAATTTGAACAGAAAGAACAAGTATTTTTGGCAGAATGCCATCTCAGGCTGCTGTTGCACTCTCTTGAGTAACATGTTCTGGCCAAAAAGCATGTTACCTGTCCCCTACTTCAGCTCCCAGCTACTACAAAAGGGGTTTCATCACTTGGAAATAACTTGCATACCTGTCTGAGCTGCCTTCCAGTTGACTCAACTGGAACCATCTTAACAGCATATTTCTCTCTCTGAAGCTTTTATAAAGATGACCTAGCAATAGAGGCAATATACAGATCTATGAAAGTTGTCTTTGAGGGAACACATAACAATTATGTCTGCATGTTTTAGAGGGATAAGAAATGACGACCAAACAAATTTCAAATCCTGCAGAAAATAGCCTTGCAGAAAATGCATCCTCTTTGAAGAAAGTTCTTCTCTACTTTATAGCCAAGCTTCTGCGCTGCAAACATTAGTTAATCTGTAAGCCTGGAACAAAAATAAATCATTAATATGGAAAAGAATAGTGAAGTGAGAACACCCACTTAAAGATCTCACTGTATTAGGCTGCATATTGTGGTACTTATAGCTTGTCCACAAATGCGAGGGTGGCGAGTCTTGAACTTTTTTTCCTCCCTTCTTTTCTAAAATTCTCAGTGTTTTGAAGCATGTATAAGGATTTCTTAAAATGACCTGTTTGATTCCTATCTATTACAAGATCCTCAAAGATCTGCAGAATATATAAAGCAATATGTCAAGTGTTACTACAGCAAGACAAGAATAGATAGGTGAAGTCAAGGAATCAAATCCTGCTGCTCATGACACCACCACCACTGTAAGTCAAGAGCAGCTCCTTGAAAGCCATATCTGACAGAAGTTACTGGGCCAGAAAAATTCAAACTTGATTCTCTTGTATGCCTCTATCCATTTACTGCAGTTTGAATTCAGGCCTAACAACAGACAACTCAGGGCTTACCAACATGGCAAAAGGACAGAGAGCAGCAGCTTTTGTGTGCAGAGTACAAAGGAGGCTTTCTGCCTGGCTGCTTTCTAGTCAGTTTATTCTTCCTATAACCTAAGAAATATTACAACCTCCAACAAAAAAAAATCTGTTCTGTATATAGTCTGAAACACCGTTCAGCATATACTGAAACAATGGACAGAAGAGAACCAAGTCCATTCTCTAAAAAAGACTATTTATGCTTTCTTTAATTTTATAAAAAATCCCCAAGTGAACTAAAGTGGCAAAAAGTGTTACAGGTTAAAAGAACCAACCAACTCCTCAAAAAAAACCCCAAAAACCAAAGAGCAAAACGAAAAAAACATAGCAATTTTGAACAACACAGGCCCTTTTGCTCACTACATAATGACTGTGTAAGGGACAGCTGCATCAAGTATTCTTAAGACTAACAGATACTAAAATATTAAATTAATATACTGAGTAAACACATACCACGTGTTTATGAATATATGCATGCACAAAAACACGCAGTAAAAGCAGTTAACAACATTTTGCAGACTTCCAAATTCTTTTCTTTTTTTAATCTTTGGCTGATGATGGTGAATTGCTCAGACTTTTCGTTATGTGGAGCTCAAATAACTTTGGGTACTTCGAAACAAGCATTACAAGCTTTATCTGCTTAGCCTTTCTGGATAAAAACCCAGCCCTATTAAAATCAAAGACCAACTCCTATTGACTTAAGTGGCTTAATTCACTCTAAAATCCACAGCTCTAATTTTGCCTTCCTTCATACTAATGAAAATCCTAAATAATTGCTCTGAAGTCAGTTCACATTCATAGGATAAAGACAAAAAGAGCACAAGGGCAATTTTATTTTATAGCTTAGCTCCATACTTGTGTGACTGATTAACTCCACTGTCACAAAGAACACCAGTGCCTTTGATTTGTATGTTTATGTAAAAAACTGGAAAATCTGGGATACTGAATGTACCCATGATAAAGTGGCATCATGAAAGACTAACTTGGAAGGGTATTAATGTTTTAGAATATTTTATGAATCAAAGAGATTTCTGGAAAGAGTCTTAAGAAGAGAAAGAAAAAGAGGCTCAAATACTGTTCCAAAGAGGAGGTTTTAACCAAGGGATGACTTAACTCCTCATAAGACCGAAAAACTAAATAATGTCAACTATATAAAAAGACAGTTACTCAAAGAAACCCAGAATGCTCTGGCCAAGTATGCAATGGTCATTGGTGTGCGTATGGTCCATGTTTGCCTCTCTGTGGCACACCTTCCAGGTGCTCTGCTACAGCTCCTGTTTTGGGAGAGTTCACAGTCTCTTTATCTGCTGTGCTACAGCATGGGCAGGGCTCTGGCACCACAGAATTAGTTATTAACCCTCCCCTGCTCACATGGCCCTATGCTGACTTGGAAAATGGCCTTCAATAATTTAATAGTTTGACTCTTTCGAACAATTAGCAAATCCACTAATTAGATGAATTTGTAGTTCAGGATAGTATAAACCTGACATTCCTATATACAACCAAAAGGAGCATTCTGCTGCAGGCCAACCTTGGGTTTATACTACATTTTGTTTGTTGAGGTGGGGGGGAAGAGAAAAAAACCCAACTTTCAAATTTCGAATGTTTTCATACCTAAGTTCTCATTGCAGGATGGTATTCTGGTTAGCACACAGCCTTGTGTTCCTAGGACTAAATGCAATAGCTTTCCTGAACTAGTGTTAATTCAGACAACTAATGCGGTCTTAAAATGACTTTTCATTTTTTCCCTATGTTTCCATTTTAGAAAATGAATTCTTTAAGAATTTCTCACTAAACAACTGATAATAAAATTAAATGTAAATTATAAAGAAGTTAATTCTCTTTTGCATTTTCATATTTCCAGGCATATTTTTTCTCTTAAAAACATATTAAAAGTGTCATACACATTTGCATGAGCAACAACCAAAACCACACATTTGTTAAGCTTCAATATGTCATCAAACCTTAGTTTACAATAAGGAAAAGCAATAATAATAAAAAATAAAAATAATCACACCCCAGATTCTGATACACTGCAGGGTTTAACAGAATTTGAATTCTTCAACACACACAGGCCAAGTGCTGCTACAACCACAAGGCACAGGCCCTGTGCTTCTCACGAGCCGAGATTCCTCCGCAGGCTCTCAGCTGCAACAGGTGCAGTAAGATTAACCCTGGCTTGAAAGTCTGCACTAAAGAAAAGTCTGCTCCCAGATCTCGTAAGAAAACACACCCAAAACACCAAACCACGGCACAACGCCCCGGGGCAGGCGGGAGGGGAGGGGAGGGGAGGGGAGGGTTGCTGTCCCCGCAGCACAGCACCGGTGTCCCAGCACGCCTTGCTGGTCCCATTCAGCAGGAGCACGAAGCTCCACCGGGCAATAAAAGGGCTTTCGGAGGAGCACCGGGCCTGCCCGGCTCGGCACGGGCAGCTCGGCAGGAGGTTCAGCCCGGGCTGCCCTGAGGCGAGCCCGGCTGCGGGCCAAGGGCAGCGCCGAACCTGCCGGGCCGGCCGGGCCAGCCGGGCCCCGCGGTGACCCCCGCCCGCTCACAACGCCCCTGGCAGGGAGGCGGGTTCGGCCAGGCCCGCCGCCACTTACCGAGCCCCAGCAGCGGGATGCTGCGGCCGCTGGCGAGCGGCACCGTGGGGCCGCCGCCCGGCCTGGGCCTGCCCGCCGCCGCCATGGCCCGGGACTACAGCTCCCAGCGGCCCCTGCGCCCGCGCCGCGCCACGGACAGCCGGGAGCCGGGCGGGAGCCGGGAGCGCGGAGGGGCGGCCGGGACACGAGGAGGTGGGAGTGCGGAGGTGGGGGCCGGGAGTGCGGAGGTGGGAGCCGGGATACGAGGAGGTGGGAGCCGGGCCGTCCCCCCGCCCATGGGGCCGGGTCCCGGCGGGCCATGGATGCCCCAGCGGGCCATGGATGCCCCGGCTGATCCGTGTTCCCTTTGCCTCCCTGGCAGGTGGCGGCTCTGCCGGGCCCCCCGAACATGCTTTACCTGGTCGGGCTGGGCCTGGGCGATGCCAAGGACATCACGGTGAAGGGGCTGGAGGCGGTGAGGCGGTGCCGCAGGGTGTACCTGGAGGCCTACACGTCCGTGCTCACGGTGGGCAAGGAAGCGCTGGTAGGTCCGGCCACGGGGCCCGAGGCCTCTCGGACCGCGGGGCGAGGCGGGCGCTGGGGCTGGGGGGTCAGCGGGGAGGAAGATGTACGTGACCCTCACACACTACGTTTTATAGGAGATTTTGCTTTGCTACCTTGCAAGAAGACTGCAGCAAAAATAAAATGTTCCTTCCTTCAACTCTTTGTACTGGTTTTCATCTCAAATTCTCCCAAATGTGTGCAGATCGTGAAATACTGGAGATCATGGTTAGAAAAATGTCTGATCTGTTTAAAAACAAAAAAAGCCCAAAAGACATACCAGAATAACACGTCTTGAAGCCCTGGGCCTCTGTATCAGCCTGAGGCGTTGTGGCTTGCCTGCTGGGAATAACAAGCTGACTGTCTCACGTTTCCATGTTTCCCCGTGGGCCAAGCTGTCTCACCACGTTGAGACTCCCAGAACAGGCACAGGTCAGTCAGAGATGGGCTGTTGAACAACATGGAGATAAACGCACCTTATGGAAGACAACGGTAGTCAAATGTACAAATTGTAACTCTGATGAGTTCATAGATGGTCACAGAAAGATGAAGTTTAATGTCAAAATAATACCAACAAAAGACCATACCTGCCCACAAAACAGGGATCTCTCCTCCCGGGAAGCTGTGCAGTACTATACAGAGACGCTGTTTGGGTCTTGGGTGCTGTATAGCCATAATGTACCTGTATGCATACCTCTATATACATACAGCATGTGAAAATTTTAGCTTGTAGTCAGCATTACATGGTTTCTGGATACAAGGTAGGCTAGAATATTTGAGGCCATCTCTGGTTTATCTGCTGTATTTTGGAATGAAGATATGCTGTGTGTTTTTATGGTTCTTTTCAGTACACTGAAGCAATCTAAATTGTAGTCAATCCATTAAAACAAAATGCTCCTTGTTGTTTGATAGTTGGAAAATTGCTAAATGGAAAGGATTACTTGGGTATTTTTACTTCACAAAATTTGCATTTTCTATTAAAAAAAAAAAGGATTCCTAGCCATCTGAAAATAAAATATTGAATAATAGAGAAATGCTGAATATTTTGGTGTGGTTATTTTGTTGGTTTTTGGGGACTTTTGTTACGTTTTTTTATTCTTTTAAGTCTTTTGCAAACCTTGAAGTCCCTAAGATGAGATAACTGGAAAAAGTGATCAATAAAAACAAAGTAAAATATACCTTATCTGGAACCACCTAAGAGGGAATACAGGAATTAATCACCAAGTGTTTATAATACAGCCCAGTTTACATACAAGTGACAATGCTGGATGGTTTTTTTGGTGATCTGAAGGTCAGTCTCTCCTAAGCAGCATGAAAAGTTATGGGAAAGCTCTCAGAAAGTAAAGAACAGATCCTTTCCTGCAGAGATTTTCTAGAAATCCTCCTGTACTGATGCTTTTAAAATCAGGCCTCAAAATTCAAGTGACGTGACTTGCTTAGTTTATCTTGTTGGCCTAAAACATATATTAAAATCTATTTGATGTTGACCATCTAAATTGGCCCTTAGTTTGGTGAAAGAACTGTGTGGACCCAGTGGCCTCCCAGTGAGTCTACATTGTCAGGAGGGTGCTTTCTATATGTTCTCTAATTAGCATGCTTTGATTAGCATTGTGGAGTAGTCTCAAAGCATGCAAATAGATTCCCTTGGATGAAAACAAAGGTGTGCTCCTGGGACTGCACCCAATATGTTCTGTAGTGTGCATTTGTTTACAGCATTGGACTAAAGTCAGCCTGGTGCAATGATAAGCCCACCCAAATGGATGTAGTGTTGTTACCGAGGGCTTTGCTTTATAGAGTCCCATACCTAGTACTCTAGCTATGGGATGGATTTTTTTATGGAAGCACTGCTCCACTTCTGTACAAGTATGATGTTTCTCTCATCGATTCACTGTCCTTTGAGGGCACAGTCACAGAAGTCATAAAAAAATCTGGGCCATAACTGACTTAATAGTTTTATCAATTCTTTATTTATATTGGTTAATATTCGTAATTCCACCCAAATTTTCTGTATACTACTTATAACAAAAACACTTTTTCTGGTCTTTGCCTTGGAAAATATACCTTAAAATGTAAAGAGGATGTGAAATGCATGGTGACACATCACTTAGAGACAGATGTGTTCAGTATGGTCAGACAATATGTTCTAGGACTAACTGAAGTTTCATTACATATGTGAAGTCGATTTGGGAAATAAAGGCACTTAAAACATACAAAGAGACACAATGATTACTGAGCTGCTGAGGAAAAGTGAAGGAAATGAGCAAATGCATCTTCACCTGTATATGTGGTAAAGTATTTCTTAAAGAGAACTCTGAAGGCGAAGGATTAATATGAAATCATTCCTTAGATGTGGTTTGTTTAAATGTTCTAAGGAAAAATCTGAAAAAACAGGTTGTGGTATAGCTGGTGTGGTGTTCGTATCTGGTTTGACGTGAGAATTATAACTAAGCTAAGCAGTTGGGCTCAGACTGTGAGGGGGGATGCCTGGCAGTACGACGGCCGGTTAAATTAACTGTACCAAGAGCCCACCCAGGTACCTTCAGAATGCAGGTGTGACCAAGCTACTTGTGGGGCAGCTTCTCACCTGACACAGAAGGCATAAAAAAAAGAAGTCAGTATCAGAATAAAGTGCTTGACTGATTTTTATCAGCTCAGGAGCTGCTTTATGGGAAGCTCAGGCATTCTTCCAAGTTGGGGTGAGGTTCTCCAGGACCTGGGGCAGGCTGCTGGGGAGAATATTAAAGTTAGCTATTCCAGTGCCCATTGTCCGTGTTCCTGAATGAGCACCCAGAGAGATACAAACCCACTCCTAACTGTCTTATTTTGATGCTTAATATTAATTTCAATTTCTAGGAAGAGTTCTATGGAAAAGAATTGATTTTGGCCGACCGAGAAATGGTGGAGCAAGAAGCAGATACCCTTTTAAAAGAAGCTGATGTTTGTGATGTCGCATTTCTTGTAGTTGGTGATCCTTTTGGGTAAGACAAAGCAACATTTGAATTATTGCTCTAGCTTGATAACTCTTTTTTCAGTAGGAAGAAGCCAACTCCGTAACTGTAATTCTTTATGAAGAAGCTGATTTTCAGACCAGAAGCACTTTTTTATGTCTGCATACCTTTTATTGTATTAAAAATATATGTGCAATTGCCTACACTTTATCTTGCCCAGATGTTTCTTATAGATAGGAATGTGGACACTCCAGGATGTATGAATCTTTCCTTCAGCAGACACTTATAATTTCATTCATTATAATTTTATTCTCTATGGTACCTTTTACAATTAATATTTTGTTTCATGTTTTGTCTGCTAACAGAAGAAATTTTAGGATATCCCATAATTAAGAAATGTGCTGTTTTGGGGGAGTATTCTTTTAGTTGCTGTTTGTACTTATAAATTGCAGCTTTCATGCTCAGTTGTTTTAGAATGAATACAGATTATTGGTTGTACAGTGGTTCTGCTTTGATATAGGCCAGTTTTTTAAATCACTTATGTCATTATACATGTCTTCTCATGTTGGTCTATTAAGCCTTTTGTTTCCACTTTTTATTCCTGCTGGGAAGTATAGTCTTTTTCTATCACCAGAAGGATCTCCTTCTGTCTCTTTGGTCAGGCATCATTAATCTGTGTTGTCAAGCCATACAGAAGAGCTTTTAGTCTCCAGCTGGTGATTCAAGATTTATACCACAGTGTTAAGGGGCACAGGAAAAATCAAATCACTAAGCACCTTATTTGTGAGTGAAAAAATAGAGTTTATGAAAAATAGGAGCAGTGTGCACATCTGTCAAAAGCGGATAATTTATGTAAATACAGGTTGAAGGGAATTGGCAAGAGAATATTATATTAAACTAGTTATTATGGGCAGATGATCCTGTATTTCAGAAATATTAATTATACTTGCAGTACATGTTTACACTGAAATTAGGATTCGTGTAGAGTGTAGAACCACATTACATTGTAAGCAGTATTTTGATCCGTCTCAGTTATCAATAGTTTCAGTGTCAAAATACTTCAGTTCTGGTTAATGAACTACATACTTGTAGAAAACTACCTTTTTTTTGAGTGAGTTGCTTCTCTCTAAATGTTTATGTTCTTAGCTTTTAATAGTGCAGCTAGAACTGCTCCTGTGACCACATAGAGCCCTACGGATTTAGGGGTTTGTGAGGTTACTAGGAAAGGGTACTGAAGGTTTCTGTCCTAAGAGAAGCCACAAAGGAGGGTAGGATGACAGAAGTCATGTGACTGCAGCTGATCATAGAGTTTCCAGTCTCTTTGCAGGTAAGAAGAGTATTTGGCAGCCTTAGGAAATCTCAAGTGGTGGTGGTTAATGGCTAAAGCAATAAAGCAAGCTGTGCCCCATCATCCTCTTCACTGTGTTCCCTGCAAGTTTTTATCTGCATATGTGGTAACAGCTCTGGATGTGCTCACAGGAACCTGGCAATTTCCATGGAACAGTGGAAAGCCCACCATGCTAGGCTGGTGTTAATATTTGTATTATTGCTACCCATAAAACTGAAAATCTGTATCAGTGACAGAAAATACTACTATAGTTTTGGGTGCAGAGGGCTGACTCCATGAAGCCTTTGCTGG